GTGTGTGTGTGTGTGTGTGTGTGTGTGTGTGTGTGTGTGTGTGTGTGATGAGCAAAAATGTGCCTGGAGTGAGTTTAAAGTTAAAAGCACTATCTGGAGTGGACCAAAGAAGTGAGAACAATTTAAAATTACTACATTAAAGAGATTTTTCTTTTAAGATGCACACTTCAGCACATAAATTTTTTCATTACAATTACAGTATAATAAGGAAAGGAAAACATTGAAGATATGAGAAGTATTAATTGTTAAATACCAGCCATTGCATAAATTCAGGAGATTGAATATATAATAAAAAGTATAAATGAAAAAATGTATAAATGAAAAAAGTTGCTATAAAGAGAGAGCACCCATCACAGTGTAACAATCACTGCATAACCATAGATTATAGTGATCAGAACATCACATACAACTTTCTTTACTGGGCTATTGTGGCTGATACAGTTACGCTTGTGGTAGATTACTGATATGTTAGTGATGGGCAATTGTGGTTGATACAGTTCTGTTGTGGTAGCCTACTGATATGTTACTGGTGGACAATAGTGGTTGATACAGTTCGGCTTGTGATAGATTACTGATTTGCTGGTGATGGGCAACTGTGGCTAATAAAGTTCATCTTGTGGTAGACTACTGATATGTTGGTGAAAAGGTGGAAGAGCAGAGCCTCCGTGAGATTCTAACATGTTCTCTGTGGTTCCTACGAATATTGCTAATGCACTAGCAAGACTTTAGTGAGATTTTGTCTAATACTTTATAGATGTGGAATTTGAAGTAATGAGAGAATAAACATCTCCCTGAGTACCACTTAGCTGCCATAAGACAGAGGTGTGCCACAGATTTCAAATTTGCAATAATCTTTCTAGAATGACTACAAAACTTACTACCTAGTATAGGATCTATTTGAGTGGAAGTCACAGATGCAATAATTGCACAGGAAGATAAGTACGAACCAAGATTTGAGGAAGAAAAAAGGGTACACATCAATCTAAAATTTTCTCTGTACCTTGATTTTTGTTTAGTCATCATTTTAAATATTGCTTTTGATTTCTTAATGTTCTTACATATTTATCATTGGTATATCTACATTCCTCCTTTAGAATTTTAAATTTATTTCTACTTTATTTTGTTTTCTTTTAGACAAGGTATCACCTGGTAGCCTAGCAAACTTCAATCTCATCTGTTGGGCAGCCTGGCCTTGGACTCTTGGCTATCAAGCCTCAACCTTCAAATTCAAGCAATACTGGTGTGCATTCCCAAGGCAGTTAGTTATATGATAATTTTTAACATCCATGAACAGTTGGCATTAAAACTGAACAATACTTAGAAAGTTTGAAAACTGCAATAAAGACAAGACTATTTAAATATGCCTAAAGGATTGTTTATTGAAATGACTGGAAAGGAAATGGGTTCTCAATTTCACAAACTATTTTGCATACATTATTGACATGCATTTTTACTTCAGTATGTAACTTTTATGATATTATATGAAGTACAATTCAAAAGCATAAAAAATTAATGAGTCAAATTCAGATGAAATGAATGCCGTATAATACATAGAATAAATAACAGAATTTTTTTCCATGTAGATTCATTCAAAAGTATAACATTTTTGTAGCACGATCCGAAGATGAAAAAGTTGTTGCATTTCCAGTCTCAGTCAATTCTGTGAAAAACAATAGAATCAGTTCTGTTTTTCAAGAATGTAGTTCTCAACCTTTAGTATTGAATCTTTAGTACAGTTCATCATGCGTTGGTGACCCCAAACATAAATTTAATTCATTGCTATTTCATAACTGTAATTTTGCTACTGTTTTAAATCATAATGTAAATATCTGATATGCAGGCTATCCAATATGTGACTCTTATGAAAGGACCTGTCATTCCCAATGGGATCTTTAACCACAGGTTGAGAATCATGGTTTTATATTCATTCACTTTTCACCAGTTGCAGTACACAAAAAGTAATTGCTTTGTAAATGTATATGTTTCTCTCCTTAGAGGCATAAAACTCGTATTCAATGATTAGGATCACAAGAAATTGTTGCAAAATGCCTAGTCTTTCTTCAGTCCTAAATAGCTTTGTAGTTTAGATCTTCAAATCAATATTATCTGCCCTATTGTACCTTTTTAATATTTGGACTGAGTAATTTGCTTTTGAATTATGAATTTAAAAACTATTTTAAATTCAATAAACATAAAATTTATGAAACATAATGTATTCACTGAAATGAAAACTGTCCTGTAATGAAAGCTATAATGTATTCACATAAAATACAAGAAAAGTTCATTTCTGAGTTTCTATTAACTTAATTATATAAGATGTAAAGATAAAAGATCTTTGAATGAGCCAGATCTATATTAGTGACAAAAAATAAAATTAAAAGTTTCTTGAAATTTAAGCTGTGCCTCGCGTCACATTGGTAAGAAGCTGTCAACCATTGATAAATAATACTGTGATTAAATTTGCTACTCTGATGTGTGTATATAAAATAATGAAATATAAAAAGATGTCAATTACAAAAATATTCACTTTGGTCTTCAATTTCCAGAAACTTACCAAAAATGAGGAGGAGATATTAACTTGGAAATCCTCTTAGACCTAAATTCAAACAAACACAAATAAATAAGTATAAATTTTCCCTTTTAATGTAACACCTGCCTAAAGTGTATCTATATAACAAATGAAACAGCTCAATCTTTTGACCCCATGCACATATACTCCAATGGCAAATAAACTGCAATATGTGGATAATAAATATGCACAAGGAAATTTGAGAACTCTATTGAAGAAACTTCGCTACTCAAATCTAATAAATCGCCTTGTTTACCTGTGGTTTAGTCAGCCTTAATTCTCTTGAAATCAGAATTTTCAGTCAACCTGACAAATTGTCTACTTCCAACAGACTATGACTTTTGTTTTGACAATCATAACAGTTATATCAGAGTCTTTAAGATGCTAGGCACTGGGAATTAGGTGGAAGTGAATATCTCCAGGTGGCTCTATTTTATAGCCCACATCAAGGATTTTTTATGGATGGATGCATTATACATCTATTCTTCCATTCTACAGCCTCCATTTCTTCTATTAGTGTTATCACATGCACATTTTGAGGGGAATTTAAAAGGAAGTAAATTTAGACTTACAGTGGTGGGTTGAGGTGGCTGAAACTGAAAGGTGGGGCTAAGCAGAACATCTAGGTACTGAAGAAGGGCTTGAGCAGGCATATCTGTTTGAAGGAAGGGTGCTACTTGCTGGAGGAGGTACAGAATTTTGGATTGAGGAATAGTCAGCTGGGTCTGAGAAGAAACCAGGGGAGTCTGAAGAAAAGCTTGCAGGGCCTGTGCCAGGGCCTGGACCTGAGCCTGAGAAATGTGCTGGTTTGCAAGATTAGCAAGACTGAGGACTTGAGGGTTAATGAGGTGGAGCAGAGTTTCAGAGTTAAGAGAGGATGCGGATTTGTGCTTGGGAAGGATGGTGGCTTTAGCTTTAAGGAAAGCTTCCAGTTCAGGAGAAAGGACAGGCCCAAGAGAAGGCACTACAGAGGGTTGAGCAATAGGCTGGATGTTTTGTGCAAAGGGAGTGCAGGAGATGGGCTGGTTGTAGGGAAAGGCCTGAGGTTGTGACTGAATGAAGGGGTGGACTTTATCCTGGAGCACTTCCTAGAAAGAAAAGAACCTTTCAGTACACAATTCAGCAACATCATCCTTCTTAATTAATTAATAAATAATCTTTTAACCAATGATAATTGAGCAAATGTTTTTGCTTAAGAAACTATCTTGGCCCTCGCTGGGTATGGTGTCTAATGCCTCTAGATCTTCCAGCTGGGAGCTTGAAGCAGGAGGATTGTTATAACTTTGAGACCACCTGAGGTAAATGGTGCATTCTAGGCAAGTCTGGGTACAGAGTAATAAGCAATCTCGGCAGTTTTGTTTTTTTTTTTTTTTTGAAAGATGAACAAAATAGGAAGACATTCTGTTGGGTCATATTAAGAAAATAAGTACAGTGTTCTTAAAGGATTTTTCCCTAGCCTATTCTAGTTGTAAAGGAATTATAGCGCAAAATGAAATTGATGTTCACGATTTTTTAGAATCTTTTCTTTTTCCCAAGTCATGTCTACATGTGTAGTTATATATTCATAAGTATGCAAGAGCATTGATTCCTCAACCTTTGTAGACTGATAATAGAAAAAAATATTTTTATAGTTGAAGGCAAATTAATTTTAAAAGGATTAATGGGACAATGCTAAAGTTTATTTTATTTGGTTTTAAGGGGGAAAATCAGCCTCAATTTGTGACTAAATTTTGTGAGTCACTTAATATTGGTCAACTAGTAGAAAGACTTCTTTTGGCAAAATACAATTTTTTTTAATCTTTTCAAGAGGAGTCGATCTCTAAAATTTTAATTTTATTTAGAAAATATGATGTGAACATCAAGTAATTTACTGAAGAAAATGAACTATCAAAGTTAAACTGTTAGCTGAATTGAATGTATGGTCATAAGTATGATTCAATAGTGCAACTAGATGCTATTCAGAAAACCACTGATTTGAAGGCAACCTCTTCTACTTTTTATGAGAGCTTAACCAGTGGTTCATTCAGCTGTTCTGCATCTCACTCCTTTTATCTTTGGACTAGAAATGCCCTTAAGACTAGGCAAACACAAAGTACAAATATTATCATAAATCAAATTGTGAACTAAAACCAATGTCAACGTGTCCTTTCATCAACATATTCATTTAGATAACAAAAGGAAAATGGTTTCTGCAGGAGAAATGCTTATGCTAATTATTAAGAACAGATAATACCACTATTAACTGCAATCATGATTTAGAAAATGTGTTGACACCTAAGTGGTATGCTTTCATAGAACTGGTGTATGACCTTTGTTTACTATAAACAGACATGGTATAATTATTTTCTGGTATTACACGTCACAAAACCAAGACATACATTTCCCATGAGCAATTTACCTTGGCTTGCAGTTGTTCCATTTGCTCTACCATCTGAAGTTTCTGTTAGAAACAAAGAGTACATTAAAAATCCCAAATTTTAATCTCCCCAAATAAAGCATGGATATTAAATATGATGGGTTTACCTCATTGATATTTTCAGTAGATTCCTTCAAATAATTGAAAAAAGAATCATTAGCTTTTACTGAGTAAATAGTATTTTCAATGTATATTTAAAATTGAGGTACTTGGTAGGCTGTTTTAATGCATTACTGATGGGAAAATTGAGGAAACTTGTATTTAAACTATTTTGACATTCTGTATGAACTTATTCTATACAAGAATGATGAGTGCAGTCAAGAGAGAAAAGTGAATTTGTGAGTATAGTATATAAAGACACATATGAACAATGTTTGAAAACACAGCCTAATGCCTATATATTGTAGTAGCTACTGTTAGTTCACTTGCTAATATATTAGCCTCCAAATAAACTATGAAAGCTAAATACTTCCTCTGAGGCATTTGTAGAACTCTGAAAAGTATATACTTTTTTCTAAAAAAACAAATGGCACCACATGTGAATAAGTAGTTCAAGGTAAAGACATCTATGTGCTGCTCTCAGGTAGATTGAGGACTATATTACATCTCACTTATTTTTATTTACCTAAATGACTGCTTAATAACCAAATGGATCCTTCTGTAAGCAGGCCTACACACTATAGAGCAAGTATCTTATTTCTATTGGCATTTGTCTTTAGTTCGGGGTGTAGTTCCTAGGCATTGAGTGATCCACAAAAGGCACACAGTAAATATTAAAACATTGATCAAACTGAGCTCTTGGCAGAGAATTTGATGTTTTGCTTCTCAAATAAAAAAGTGCAATGAAAAAATTTCAAATAATAAACTAACTTAGTACATTATAGAATATGCAGAAATCTAGATATTTTTCTGCCCTAATATGATGTAAAGCATATTTACCTGAGGCATATGTTATAGTGACCTAGGACAATCTAACTCAGCAGAAGGATAGCACTTCACTGTTCTAAGTTCAGAAACTGGCTCTGAGTGACAATCATCTTACCTCACTGCTAGAAATGCTCTCAGAATATAAAACAATAATAATACATATATTTTAATTTATAGAACTAATTAGAACTTCCAGATCATTAAAAATGTAGTTTGTTTAGGGGAAACCTCTTACCTCAGAGGAAACGCTGAATGTTTCCTTTTGAAAAAAATAAACAAAAAAAAACATTATTAATGACTATATATACCCTGCTACTAAACATGCTTCCTATTTGACTTTTATGTCATGTACATCTTTCAGAAACTTAAAAAGCAAAAAAGTTGTTATATGCCTTTTAGAATCTTGAAAAATTACATTTACTATTTCTCTGATAATTTAGTAAACTTTTATTGGTTCATTCTTACATTAGATAAACTTGTGCATTGTTTTTGATGAGTGACAAAAAGAAGTCCTATTGCCTTGTTTTGTTGTTTGTTTTTTTTTTTTTGGTCTTTTTTCCTGTTTGTTAGGGAATTGGTGATACAATAATGCAGTAAGCATTTGTTCCAGCTTTGAGACCTTACAGGAATCTTGAGATACTACATGACCCTCAAAGAAGCAGTGATCAAATAAACATCTGAAACTCTCCATTAATTCTGTACTAAGTGGCCACCACTGTTATTGTCTATTAGTGAGCAAACCATTCCCTACGTCTTAATAAGTTAGGAAGTTTCTTTACATACCTCACTTGCGAAAGCAAGTGTCACTAGGCAGGCGAGGATGAAGACCTTCATGGTTGTCAAGTCCTGGGAATGAAAAGATGAAGAAGTTGTAAGAGATAAGTCAGTCAATTAAAGTCAAATTCTTCTCTGGCTCCTAAGCACTCCTATTGCTAAACATTAAACTTGAACTTCAGCAGCACCACGAGGATTCTCAGTTCACAGTTCTCTTCCCTTCATTTTTATTAGATATCTTTGTTGATAAGCATATGGATGCTTTACAAACTCTACAAAGAAGTCATAACTTTGGAAGCATTTAATAATCATTTATTTAAAACTATTTATCACTTACAGGTGGCCAGTCCGTGAACAAAATGAGAATATCTCAGCACGAGGGAACCTCCCTTCTAGACTGAATTGGTAGACAATGTGTTTAAACAGTTTTGTTGCTTGTGGGTAGTCTCAGCAAGAAATATAAAATTTTAAAGATATTTAAAAAGTATTCTTTTCAATACTTGATGGTTGAAAATTATTCTCTCTGTGAAAATATGTTTTTGTTTCTTCTGATGGGTATTTCATAATTTATTACTAACCTTTCTTTGTCTAAAACCTGTTCCATCTAATTTAATTGTCCTAGTTTAAAAGAAAGTTGTACCGTTGTAGATTATGCATGTGGGGAGAATTCCACTGCATTTCTTATATTTTATTCTTATCATTTTATATGCCCATTTTTATACTGGAATTTCATTGTTATCTGGTATGCTATAAGTTCCTTTTCTTTCACCCAATCATATTTTCATGATCATTGCTTCTAAGTAATATCTGACCTTTCTAAAATTCTTTCACAAGAAGAAGACTTTGTTTCTATTTTCCACATGACATAATGTTTTCTGAAATATTATAAACTAGATCAAGGATCTAAGACCATGGACAAGTTTTATGGCTACAATCTTCTTGTTTAAGAACTTGGAATTTGCAGCTTATAATTGTTGCCTAGTAAATATCTTTCCGTGATATAATTTGGGTGCCTTTTTAAATTAAAATGCATCAAATCAAATGAGATATGTATTTAAGAAATCAATTTCTAATCTCCTCTTAATATATTTACTGTCCTTGTATTTATTTATTATTACATATTCTCATTTTCATGAAGCCAATAGTCATTGTAATTTGTATAAAATCTTTCTAGGCATTTCTACATTTTTAAGCCTAATTTTTAAAATAATCTCACCACTTCTTTTAAAATCTAATTTCCAAAAACTTTATTTTAAGTAATTATATTACTTCCATAACCTAGTCTAGTTTCAAATAAATCATGAAAATAGTATGTAAATGTCACCTCTGAAATTCTTACCTTTAGTGGAGGACAAGAGTCAAGGTGAAGCTGGGAAGATGATGGTCTATCTGCTTCTGCAACTGTATATATACTGTATTTAATGATATGCTAATTTTGTGGCTCGTAAGACGTTCAAGAAGTCCCTTCAATTCCAAGAAATTCACATGATTGGAAAACGGTTTCTTTCTATTGTCTGTCCTAAGAAAGTCTGGGGTACATTAAACAAGGCAGCAATTCAGAAGCTGGTGGAGCAAATGCATCCAGGAAATGCAATTGTCCAAATACTTAAAAAAAAAAAACAAAAAACAAAACAAACAAACAAAAAAAAAAACCTGGCTGACCCGCCAATCTGGTACCAGTTGCTGTAGACTCAGTTCTCTTTGCATCTTAGTGGGGGCTTTAACCTCAGTTGTGGGGCAGTCATACGTCAACATTGGAATCGGAGACAGCCAGAGCTTTACATAGGTCAGGACTTCATCTTCACATGAGCACTGAGAACTCAGCAATAACACGAGAGGCTAGTCATGTGCAACAAACTCTTTGTCACTCACATTTGCCTGGCTTGGGTAAAATAAATACTTAAACCAGTATTTACCACACAAAGGGATGCATTTCATATAGTAATAAAATAAATCAGAGAAGGGATCTGTAAAATTTGTATGGAAATAAAACTATGAAACTGTAGCAAAAAGTTTGCAAAAAGGTACAACAAACAGCCTAATTCTTGGCTAAAACAGTCTCAGGTTTCTACAACCAACGCCAGTGTTACCTACTCTGCTTTCTCCTCCTCCTTCTCCTCCTCGCTCTCTTTCACTTCTCTCTCTCTCTCTCTCTCTTTCTCTTTTCCTTCCTTCCACTCTGCCTTTTCTTGAATATAGACATAGAGATCATAGAGATTTATTTATTTAATTAATAAACTGTTACTTTTTCTACTTCAGTTATAATAACCATAAAAGAGATTACAGATTGTTTTTACTTGTTGTGCATATATCAGCCACTAAATACGTTATAATTATTATCTTCTTTAACAAAGCAATTTTAAGTTGCTCTTTTCTCTCATTTGACATTTATGAAATTGAGATAGCAAATGCTCAAGTAACTTGGTCAGTCTGGCTATATTTAATAGCAGAGTTATCATATTCCTCATCTGTCTCACAAGTGATTTTATTTGGTCACATGGAAGTCCCACAGACCATATTTTAACTCTTCTAAGATTTCGTTGTGGGGAAAAAAACCTCAGTTTTAAATGTAGCATTTTTGTTTCAATGTATAGAATTTAATTTGTCAAATAGAGAAATAGTACACATTTGATGATGGTAAAAAGATGAGTTTGTTACTTTAGCTAGATCATAAAGAATAAGCAGAATTGTTAAATATCAATAAGTGGTACTCTATGACTACTCTGAGGATCCATAAAGTGCAGACTGTATAAGGAAATGTGGCAGATATTTGATAGAACCAGGTCATGAATGCTTATGAATTTCAGATATTTTATTGACATGATTCACTAGAAATATGAGATGATATTAAAGATTTAAGTAAAGAAGTTTAATTGATTTCAAAACCTTATGAAAACATAAACCCAGTGACAAGTTAAAGGATATAATTATACAAAGTTATAATCATAGTCTAAGACAGATTATTAAATCACTCTGAGTAGGGAGATGGTGCTAAGGAAATTGGATGATGAAAAAGAAGGTGTCATTAAAATGGCAAGTAGAAGAAATTACAGAAATAAGTGAATAGGCTATACCTATATAGTAATTGAAATGTCAGCTATGTTACAAATCAAGATATGTAAAAAGCAGAAATCAGATAGGGAATGGTGAGTGAATTGTGAAATTGGAAAGGAAAAATGGAAAGAGATATAGAAAGTCAATATGATCATAATACATGATGTAACTGAATGCTAATGTCATTTAAACCCCATCATTTTCTCTAAAAAATGCATGCAGATACTATTTTTAATGAGTTTAGTGTACTTAGGACAATGAGAATCATACCAAAGTGTTGGACAAAGGAAAGAACTGTTGGTCAAAAGAAAGAGGCCAGTGGAGGACCAGCTGTAGAGACACTCCAGAGGATAAATTCTGAATTTTCATTGGCTCAAAGTCACAATCATAAGGCTAAAATCTATATAAAACATATCAGATTTCTTAAGAGAGGAAGGGAAGAGACTATCAAAGAATACAATAAGAATATAAGGATATAAGGTTTAGAACATAAGGTTATGTGGTGATTTTTCATTACTCTTTGAACAAGCTTGAATCAACAAAAGCTTAAGAATTTCAACATTATAAAGAAGACAATAACGGGATAATGATTAGACCCTAAAGATAATCGTGCATTAACACTGCATGGAGCATAACAGTTGTCAAGGGAACGAGGGACATTCTGGATGAAATATGTTTTTCGAAGTCTTTACATAGTAGCACTTATGCAGTAATAAATACTGAAGGTCAGACATACTCTCCATAGGAAAGTAGGGAGGAAGAGTAATGAGTATTTTAACAAATATGTGATACAGTGCAGGAAACAGATATGAGACAGGTGGTTAATTCCAGAAGATGGTTAAGAAAGAGGAAAAGGACTGCACAAAGTCATGAGTTCTAGGCAGAACTGGGCTGACCTTCATGTATGAGAATTCAAGGGTAAATATGGAAAGAGCAGAGTTTTGGGTGTAAGGAACAAGTCAGGTGTAAGGAACAAACTAGGTCAAGCAGTTCATCTAGACCCGAAAATTAGACCTGGATAGACAGTGAAGAGCAAAGAATGTTGTAATCTTAGAACACGCCTTGTGTTCTACAGACAGTGGGGGTGCATGGGAGGTTCTTAGGAGAGGGGCGTTTGGATCATAATTGTTTATCTTAGCATTGATTAAGTAAAGCAGAACCATGTTTTTCTTTTTCTTTTCTCTTTATCTCTCTTTTTCTACTTTGCAGTAATAGAAAGGTTTTCAAGGAGGCAGAAACAAGGAGAAAAGTGAACCAAAACTACAAAGATGCATGGTCAGAAGACAGAGGATGCCTCGTGGCATTTGTTTTGCCAAGACATACAAATGGCAGCTCCCAAATTTTATTATCAACTTAATATCTGATATTTAGCTGCTTGTATTTGATGCTAGTCATTTTTAGTATTTAGTTTTTTCTATTATTTCTCTTTCTGTAAAAGATAATATTTCTATTATTCTCTATCTGTAAAAGATATTTTTTTTTTAAGTAAAAAGTTTACCGTGTGTCTAAGCCATCATTTTTCCTGAGCAGATATTACATTGACATCACACTAAATTTATGATAGAGAGTAACACTCCTTTTAGTCAAACCTGTTTTATAATAATTGAGAAAGCAAAGACAATGATTACTATTTTGTTGTTTCTTGTTTGTTCGCTTGTAGTTTTCATGTCGATATTGACTCTAAGTCTTTGAGTATTCTAAGCCAAGGAGAATCTAGGAAATAAAAAGTTGAAATTATTCCAATGTCTTAAGCCACTTTAGGAAACACCTTGGCTGCCCTGTGTGTCCTTGTGCCAGCTTCCTGGACTGCTAATACCACAGGCGACAACGTATGATTTCCAAGAAAACTAATACAAAAGTGAGCATGCTCTAGTCTCGCAACATTTCCTTCTACTTTTCTCAGCAAAGTGCTTTACATCGTGTGCAATATGACACTTCCTCAAGTAACACTGTGTATAGGCATTTCTGCTCTTGTTTAAGGTTTTGTGCTTGTGCAGCTCAGTTTA